AGTGATAGCTTTCGTATAGTTATATGTGTTGAACTACTCTTGTGTTGTTGGAATGTTTAATTTTTATGTTGATGTATGAATTAAATTATATAAGCTTACCCTGTGTTTTCTTGTGTTGTCTCGTACTTGTACGTCCATCTTGTCATTGCAATGATCATCCGTGTGGATGTGAGCAGAAGGAGAAGCATTGTTGGAAGACGTGATTGAAGAGGAGAATCTGGTGGACGTTGAAGTTAAGGCCGAACCTTAGGTTGTTCGGTAGTATTAGATGTTATTTGTTTTGTAAGCGATCGTTCGGTATTTGGTTTTGTAAAACCGTTCGATCCTGACTCTTTCTTATTTCTGTAATATTGTAAATTAACTCTGTACATAACGCAGTTAGATTTTTGAATGTTGGTATTAGTGTAAGACTACACTGATTGATTATGAAATGTAATTAATTCTATTATATGGTTATTACTGTATTTTTGGGATGTTACATTAGTGGTATCAGAACAGTTTTGTTCTTTTAAGGACACTGTAGGTTGTGAGTGCACTGCATTTTTGTTGTGTGCTCAACGCTCGTTTATTGAGTATTTTAAACTCTTTGAGCATAACTAACGTTCGTTTTTCTTTGTTTCTCAGAGAACAAATGGCACCTAGACCCCCTCCTCTACCTCAACTCACCGACCGTGATGTGTCCGACAACACCAGGTTGTTGGAATCGGTGATAGAAAGGCTACAACAGCAGAATGCTACCCTAATGCAGCAGAACGCGAATGCTTTACAGAGTTTGGAGGCCGTTCGCGCAAACTCTGAAGCTACTTAGAGGCAATTGATGGAGATCATTGCCGCTACCAGGAATACACAGGGAGCGTCCTCTTCCAACGTTACCCAACAGGCTGAGTGGAGCTTGGAGAGTTTCCTTCAGCATCACCACGCAAAATTCAGTGGGAAATGCCTTCCTGATGAGGCTGATTAGTGGCTGAGAGATATGGAACAGATCTACAATGCCAAGAGGTGCCCTGATGATAATAAACTCGCATTCATTGAGTATCTGTTGACTGGAGAGGCCAGTCACTGGTGGGCGAGCATGAAGATGATCTTAGCAGACACTCAAAGCCCCATTACATGGGAAGTATTCAGAAGCAAATTTTATGAAGAATACTTTCCAGATAGTTTTCGTTTCGCCAAGGAAGTGGAGTTTCTGCAACTGGTACAAGGTGGGATGTCCGTATCAGAGTATACATATAAGTTCAAACACTTGGTTCGTTTCAACACTACGGCTACGAGCGAAGAATGGCAGTGTCGTAAGTTCAAAAATGACCTGAGAAGTGAATTGAAGTTGTTGATTTCTAGCCTGTGCATCAAGTCTTTTCCTGCTATGGTTGATCGAGCCAAAGTGTTGGAGAAGAATGTAGCAGAAGTGGAACAACAGAAGAAACAACAAGTGGCTAGAGGGCCGATCTTGTCAAGAAACAATGCGAACCTGAGAAGGACACCTTACGTTCGACCAGCACAATCAGTGAATCCAAGTGTATCTAAAGCAGTGGTGGCTGTCGGGCAGTATGGACAACAAGGAAAAGTGACCTATTTCCAGTGTGGAGGACCACATTACCGCTCGTCATGTCCTCAGCTGATAGGAGGAAAATTTTGCACTCGTTGTAGGAGAAACGGACATCTGGAGAATGAGTGCAACATGGGGGAACGAGCGGTGATGAGATCACTGAACGCGGGAAGGAATCAACCGAGAGGTGGTGGTAGAGCTGAAGCAGTTGGACGTGTGTATGCTATAACCGGCGCAGAGGCAGCAAGCTCAGGTAATCTCATAATCAGTGAATGCTTGTTGTATGGTAGATCTTGCTGTGTATTGTATGACTTAGGAGCAACACATTCCTTCATCTCGACGGCGTGCATTGGGAAACTGGGTTTAGTGGAGAGAGAGATGCAGTTCGACCTGGCGGTGTCAACCCCAGCAGCTGGTGAGGTTAAGACGTCCACGGTGTGCATTAGATGTCCTATAGAAGTGGAAGGGCGTAAGTTTAAAGTTAATCTCATCTGCTTACCTCTTCAAAGTTTGGAGGTGATATTAGGGATGGATTGGTTAACTGCCAATCGCATTTTTATAGATTGTGGAGAAAAGAAGTTGGTGTTTCCGGGTGAAGAAGAAGAAGAGTTGTCTGTGACGCTCGGTCAACTAAAGGAGGACATCATGGAGGGCACCAGCTGTTTCCTGATAATGACGCAC